TTGCTTAATTTTATATGACCTTGTGCTAGGTCATTGAATTGGATAAAATGACCAAATGACTTATGACCAGTCATCAATGTCATATGTCATATGACTGGTCATTTGCCAACACTGGTATACACAGTGTTGTGCATCTGATAGTTCCAATGAATTTCAATTGGAATTGTAAAGTCCAATTGGAAGGTTTTGGAAATTGGAATGCTGATCATTCCAAACACCCCATGTGCATTTGGAATGTTCCAACACTCCAATTGGAACATTTGGATATAATTCCAATTGGAACATTGGAATGTTCCAAATGTAGTTCCAATAAATTACCCAATGAAATTCAAAATTCAAAAAATTTATTCACACAAAATAAAAAAATATTCTTTAGTTCCTGGTTTTTCAATTTAGTATAATAATATAATAATAATAAACATGACAAAAAACACACACTGTTTAACAAAGTATATCAGGGTATTAGGTAAACAGAATCAATGGAACACCTATGCTGTTTGTGTTAGTTGTCACGAAAAGTTGGACACAGATGAATTATCAAAAGAAAGCTTTGTTAATAAAAAACAACAAGTTAAAAGGCACTTAAAACATTGTAAACATTTCCTAGAGAAAATTGGAAGCCAGGAAGAAGTAGATGAAATTGTAAATTTAACAGACAATGAAAAAGAGAGTCTTGTGAGTAACAAAAGACAAAAAATTATTGAATTAGATTCAGGTGAGAATAACAATAATTATAAAGTGCATGTAAAACAATTTAATTATAATTTGTACTTATTGAGATGATTTTAAATTATAGAAATGTCATCATCTTTTTCATCATCATCATCTTCTGTGTGTCACCCAACAAATAAAACTAAAGAAAATTTAATTAGAAAATTTGCTGTTCACAACATCACAAAGAAAGAACAACCAAGATTTGAAGAACTTTTGCTAAGAATGACAGTTTCCAATGGGTTCTCATTTCATTGGGTTGAAAATCAAGCTACATTGGATTTTTTTGATTTTTGAATCCAAGTTTAGTAAAATTAGTTTAATTATTGAATTGTGGCTTATGAAAATAAAATTGCAGCCAAATTGTGGTTCATCTTTATTATTATCAGGTTGAAAAGCATTATCAAATCATATTCTTACAAATGAAACAACAAAATTAAATTCAATTCATGACCAAAAATTAAGTAGTGATGAGATTGGTGTTTGATGGGTGGAAAAATGTTTTAAATCAAAATTTATTTGGGTCATTATTTATCACATCTTTAGGAGAAGTTTTGATATGGAAAGCTCTGGATACAAGCTGTGAAAGAGATCGAATGATTGAAACCATACCTAAAATCAAATCTTTAATTGAAGAAGTTAAATCTATGAATGTAAAACTCAATGCCATAGTTTCGGATAGTGCCCCTGCTTTTGCTAGAGCAAGGTAAACATTAAATCAAAAATAATTGATCATCTTGATATAAAATCAAAAATTTATTTATTTATTTATTTATTTTTAAAAAGACGCCAGCTTAGATTGCAATATCCTTCTATTGTGTTTCTGCCTTGTTTTGCCCATCAATGTCAATTGGCAATTTGTGACATCTTTAAAGAATCATCTGGTTTCAAAGCAGCCTCTGCAAAAGCAATTACTGTGGCAGGATTCTTCAAAAATGGAAACAATGCCTACTTTATTGGTAAATTACGTAATATACAAATGGACTTATATAATAAATATTATTCAATTGTTGTTCCAGGTGAGACAAGATGGAACAGCCATTATTTTTGTTTTAACAGTTTAGTTCGTTCAAAACAAGCTTTAAGGGTAATATAAACAGTACTAGATCCAATGTTTTAAGCTTAGGTATTGAATCTTATAAAAATTTCTTAGTAACCATTTCAGAGTCTTTACAACTCAGTAGTAATATGCAAGTGGTTCGCAGTACTCATTCACACACAACCATCCTATAATGGAAGGGGATTTTACATACAGGAGCGCAAAATGCATGTTGCACCCTCAACTATGCAAGTGGTTCACAGTACTCATTCACACACAACCATCTTATAATGGAAGGGGATTTTACATACAGGAGCACAAAATGCATGTTGAATCTTCAACTCTAATTGAGGAGATTTATTTCTAAATCAATAGTGCTTTTAGTTACCTATTTATAACAAAGTATCCTGACACTTCCATAGATATAGATTAAAATTTAGCCATATTGGGCTTTGCTGGCATAATGGTAAAGGCACACATGTGGTGTGAAAAGCTTTAGTGGTCCAGTCTCTCTTCTTGGGTCTTCATGTTGTTGCATGTGTAGGTAGATATGAATTAAAATTTTTTATGTTGCACACGTAAGTAGATATGAATTAAAATTTTTTATGTTGCATGCGTAGGTAGATATGAATTAAAATTTTTTATGTTGCACATGTAGTACATAAAATTTTTGTATTGCACGCGTAAAAGAACCAATTAATTAAAAATCATTTTACATTTAGACAAAAATGATTAAATAGTTGATATTGTCAAGATAATGGTTATTGATATTAGATATGCCAATTTTTTTTGTACATTCAGAATTTTACAAAATGATATTATAATCAACAAAGTAAGAAAGAAATATGTGAAAAAATATTGTTAATATCAGAAATCTTATAATTCTATCCCTAGATTTTGTATGATTATTACTTAGGGTGTTGGTTAAAAATTTTGCTCATATAATTTGGTGAACCTAATTTGCAATTTTGTTTAAAATGCATCTGACTTTTCTCCATGTATATGTAGTGTATATTAATATATTAATATATTTTATAATAAAAAAAGAGAATTGGGACAGTCTCCAGCAAAAACCACCTCCGAAAAATTCTGAAGAATCCTGATGGAACTTTTCGGAACTTCATTTTCTGAAAAGCATCAAATTAACAGCATACTGCGTGTTAGTAAAAAAAAGTTCAACATGTTATAAGGTATTAAATTTGGAAGTATGAAAAAGTTAACCACAATATTCTTGGGAAAATAAAGCTCTGAAAAGCCCCATCAGGATTCTTCGGAATTTTTCGGAGGTGGTTTTTGCTGGAGACTGTCCCAATTGAACATATTTTTATTGTTTTATTTATTCTTCAATTATTATTACTATTACTATTACTATGAAAATTTTTAGGTAGTACAAGCAAATCCTATTTATAATCAAGTCATGTAATCAGTGCGATGTTCTTCTAACATCTATAAAATTATGGAGCACAACAATAAAAATAATAATAATAATAATAAAAAAAACTCTGCCTCTACAAATCAAAGACGCTGGCTGCATAGGCAGTTGATGCTGAATCAACAGCGGCAACGTCAGCAGCAACAGCATCAGTAACAGCAACAGCAACAGCATCAGCAACAATCACCACAAGAAGAAGAAGAAAACCATCAAAATCATCATCATCATCAACATGTTTATTATTTTTTAAATAATAATAATAACAACTACCACAACAGTAACAATAGAAACAACAACAACAACAATAGCAATAATGATAATAATAATAATAATAATAATAATAATAATAATAATAATAATAACAATAACAATCTCGATGATGATGATAATAATGAAGAAAATAAGATGGAACTCTAAATTTAAAATTTTTCTTTTTTAATTTTTTTTTGATTTTTATTTTTGATAAATAGAATAAATAAATAAAGATATAAATATTATCATCATTATATAAATTTTAAATCAGAATGACTGCATGGGAGGAAAATACTCTGCCCCAAAGCTTTATGAGTATACCTGTATCTT